TTAGATTAAATATATTGTTTTTATTTTTTTTATAAAAAATATCCTGATACTTATTAGTTAATTACTAATGTAGCATTGAAACATTATCAGTTATTAACTTATTGTATTATTCATACGCTGTAATAATATATTCATAGTCATTAATATCTATAACACAAAACGCAGCTTTAAAATATTAGCAATGACTTCATTAAGCATAATTTTTATATTTCGGTAACAAATGACATTACAATAAGATTATCACATTAACTTTATTTTTATGTGTGCGAGAAAGTACAATAAGTTAAGCAATATCTATTTTAATTAAAGTATTATTACTTTATAATATAATATATACCATGGTGTACATTTAGAAAATCTTATACAAACAAAGTCACTGAGCTTTGAATTGTTTGACATGGACCGTTCAACTTCAACATAATAATTTCCGCCTTAAAAATTGACGACTTAAATATTTCCAGTTTATATTGTATATTTGCACGTTAGTTTTTTTTTTTTTTGTACTTATACCTATGTGTTTATATTATTACGTAGTTTGATTTTTTTTTTAGGGGAAACCCGTGGCCACATAGGCCATTCATTGGGTGTGGATGGTTATTATTTTTATATTTTTGTTTATAGGTTTTTGAGTTGGCTATGTAACACGTGTTTGTGTATATGTGGCAAGAATATGTTGCTAAAAATCTTGGACGGTCATCCATCTAGGARCTAGCAACTACGGCTGGTACGTACGCTCAGTGCGTTTCCACAGATTGAGCATACAATCGCGCCTCACCAAGCCACTTGCGTTAGTTTTTATATTACATCTGTTCAATRTAATACGTAGAAATGAAACTCTACAAGTTGRTCAGGTGTTTCTTTAATCATAGGATTAAAATGGGTATGAATCTTATTCCATACTGTGATATWAAGTCTGAATCTCTGAAAAACAARRAAACAAGTCGACGTTATCRTTTTTTTACCCGAATAACAAAAAACTTTACTCCCACGATGTTCAAAGCTCAAGATTGTAATCGTCTAATATATCCAAATCAGTAACCATACAGTGTTGAAAGGCCTGATTTTACTAGTTTTTAACASAATTTAYCTTTATATTTAATAAAAGTTACGCCGCTCTAATAATTAATAGCACAATAAAGTTGATTATTYTCAACWTAAAGTTTGTCATGTTATACGTTAGATAGTAAGACAGATACTACACGTCTACACATGGATTCGTCTACGTTCTCTAAATTATTATCTATATTTGATAAAATATTTAACATTTGTCACTAAAATGTTTGAAGTTACTGGTGCTGCTTATATTCTACATTATAAAATACCATTATAACATGATTAAATATCCACCCAAATCACAACACTACATAACATGTAAGTAGTAAGTGAACGAATCTATTAATCTTTAAAATATATATCATGCATTTGTATAACATGTAATAACTTGATTGTAACATACGAGTATATCTTTAGATTCTCTTATTTTTTGTATGCAAAACAACTCCTATGCAATATTGATTACCTAACATAATCTACTTAACCTACAAATATTTAGACTTTTTTTATTGGAGGTTGAGGCTTCAACAACAAGGGACATTAGCTTTTAAAACTTTGGGGGAGGTAACTGTTGGTTTTAGTACTCGTGGATGTTTTTGGCAGAATTTCGAATGGGTACCCGTAGGTTTCTACCATGCCCTGGTAAAGGGCGGYSGCCTCTTTTTCCAGAAAACATAAACTGCCCGGAAGCATATTATCATTCTATACATTGTTTCACAACCTGATTGGCCGAATTTAAATTGCCCGCTATTTTTCCAAACAATTAAAATAATAATGATAATAATATCAAAATAATTATGTATGATAATTTATTAAAATTATCATTAAATTTAAATTTAAAAAATGAATTTACAAGTATCAGTTTATTTATTATTATTATTTATTTACAATTCAAAATTCACAAAAAACTTGTTTCGCAGAACAGACATATTCATCATTTATCTATACATTAATAATACATATATTTATAGGTAACTGCATGTGTGTTTAAATAAGGATATACATTTGATTAAATATAATATTTTATATCAAGGTATTAAACGTAAAAATAATAGTGACATTTTTTGACATGCTAAAATATATAAATAATTAACATTTTCTACAACTTAATAACATCGAAGAATTATAAATAATCTTATCTAAGTTAAGTTAATATTTGTATTATGTGGAAGATAGGTGCTATTATATTATTATATATTTATATTATACACGCATATAATCATATTAATGTTATATTTAAATACATATAAATAAAATACTATTAAATGATTTTTAGCTTACAAAGGTGATACATTTTTTTTCATATCAATATTATAACATTCAATAATCAAAGAAATAATATTCCGTGCAGATAAGAGTATATTTATTTTTTCTTTATTGACAATATATACAATTTATAAATATATAAAAAAAAGCTAATGGTATATAAAATATCAAAAATTAATAATAATAAAAACATAATTAGTAGGTACAATTGAATCATCTGGTCGTATAAGTTGGTTTACTACTTGTGTGATATAATATTGATGTTATTGCGTTCTTAAACATGGTTCTGAATTTTTATAATTTACCGTTAAATACTTTTATTTGAAAAAAAAAAATATTTATATTATGACTCTATTATTTTAGAGATAACTTTGCAATTTTAGAAACATTCGAATCACCACAATTTTTTTTTTTGTTAGTTGAACCAAACAATTGTATATAAAATAATACATCAAACATATAGAGTTAAAGTTTCGTATTCATGCAAGTATTAAAGTTTTTAGAAATATTTTATTTCACAAGTTAATGTACTAATTGCATAAGTTTTTTTTTATAAATCATATTTTATTGATTAAAGTTGTTGAGTTTTCTACTTTTTCRAATGACAGCATGCACATTTAACTTCATATTGTGTAGTTGAATTTATTTTGAAACTGTTAGTAGGTACACTAGTATATAGCTATATACTATATATATATATATATACTATATACTTAACCTAATCAGCTAAGTGGAGAGTACTCCACTTGAAACAGTTAAGACGTATTCAAAGTTCCTAAGAGTAGGCAATGATAAGCTGTATTACTCTCACAGTTACTTATTGCTTACAATCAAAAACTCTAAATACTTAGAACTAATTATCTGTTAGTTATAATTTTTATTTGTACATAAAATGATATGTCAATAGAGTGACTAGATACGGAGAAATTAAAAACTATTCATTGTCGATTACAAAAATAAAATAATATATAGGTTAAATTTATATGTTATATTTATATTCTATATTAAACTTGTGAAATTAAAATAAATGCAGTTATATTTATTAATATTTATATTACAGGTTTTAACTTTAATAATATAACTTATCTTTTCCTAAAACGTTTATACTTCTTGAGAGTTCGCTTTTAAAAGAAACGCCTTTTTCAGGTAATAACGAATTGTTTGTGTACGTAATAGTATATAATAAAAAGGTTATCTACATTAATTTTCGTTAAATTATAAATTAATTAATGTATTACATAATATATATTTTTGGAATTCATTGATTACCGTTAATACTGAAAATATTACTTCTTATATTTGTATCGGAGGTTATTAAAAAAAAAAAAAAACAATTTATGTTTAGCAATTTTGTAGTTTTTTAAAAACACAAACTACATTCAATTTCCAATGAACTGTATAAGTATTCTACATGAGAGAATTTAAAAAAGTTTACTACTCTAAAAATATTTGTAAAAAGAAGAAAAAAAAATGACGATGTAAAACCAAAAGCTTTTTTGCTCCTTACGGAATAAACATACGAACATTCATTGTTTAAAGAGTAAAATAATGTATTCACGTGCATTTCTTTTATGTACGAAAACTAATATCAGAAAGAATTCTCAAAAGCACGAAAATTTGAGACATTTTTGCATTTCCCTTTAATGTTTCACAAATAGTTCATTGAAGTGTGATGTTTTATTTGATCACAGGTTACTATTTACTAACTTTAATATTTCAGTGAATAACAAAGTTTTGAAAACATTGAATTTTATCAAATGAAACATGGACTTTGGTGACTCCATCAACTGTGATAATATCAATTCACCCACATAACTTTAGTTACTACAACACATATTTCTTAGACGTTTCGGCTTTACCATGATTATTTGTGGTTTTATGTATTCATATATATACTTTAGAAGTAATGTGTTAAAAACGAAAACGTATTAACACGTATTTACATAAAAATTAAAAACCAGATTAAGTCGTTTGACGAAAAATTCGGTAAAATAAACAATTTTCAGATATTGTAAAAAATTGTTCATCCATAATATTTTATAAATGTTTATTTRTACAAATGAAAACAATTTTTTTAAGAGTCGGACATATTATTATTAATGATCAAATTAGTGTAAACGTTCATAATTATAAAATAATACAATATATAAACTTAAGGTTGTTCTTAATCTTAAAATATACAATACAATATTTTACACATGATTAAAATGTCCTTTCGAGTTATTAATTGTTTGTCTTTAATGCGTATATGTCAAACAAACATTTCCTCATTTCTAAATTATTTTATTTTTAAGACTAAAATTTACAAGCCAAAATCCTAGATGAATTGGCTTATATATGGAAAAAATAAAATTAATTTCACCATTATATACATTTGTCTATACACGACCCGTATACACATTTAAAACATAATAAACACTATAACATGGTTAAATACGAGTATATAACAGATTACATAATATTTTTATTTTATTATAATATGGTATAATGATCGAATCATAAATCATTTAACTGGTATAATATTATTTAGTTATCGACAGACATAGTAATGAGATTATAAAACACCATGGCATAGTGTGCAATGACGTAATATATTTTAATATTTTAAACGGTGTCTTGAAAATAATTAAAAGCTATATCCATAATCAAAAATGTATTTACAGCGTTTATTATTTTTATTCTTAATCTGTTATATTTATTATTATTATAATTATTATTATTATCAATATTACAATAATATACCTAGTTATTACAAAGGCATAGTGTTTTTCATTTTGCACGCACTTTCTGTCGCACACCAATAATATTGCGCTCTTAATTTGTATTGAAGTTGAGGAACATCACTAAAGAAGGTATGAGTATCCATATGGATGGATAGCTAAGCATGTTCAGACTTCGTCCGTGTCCGTGTTGCATGGCCGCTGGGTTCTCACCTGAAATAACAAAAAATACGTCACGACGTAATCTACCATTCAACACTACAACACAACTATACTATTTATCATTATACTATACATATAGATAGATTTTATTAACTATTATGTGCTGAGACTCCTATGTGAAAACCAAACGATACGACCTTCGTAATTATTATGCTGATCAGTCGAGGCACATAGACACATACTATTATATTATTATAACATAATATTATTATATTCCACCTCTGGTAATTCAGGTTGTTCGATAAGATCCTGGGCTTTAGAATTCATAACGAATGGAAAAGTAGTTTTTATATTTTAACAATTTTACCCAACAGTTTCCCGCGATATGGAAACAAATCGTCATCATGAATTTTAAGGCCGGAATGTTGTATATATTATATTATTGCCTTATATATTTAATAAAGTAGGTAATTTAATTTGTACACTGTTTTAATTATTATTGGTTGTTGTGGTTTACTTTTACAATAAATTAATGTAAATTCAACTTGTATATATGTTATGTATGTTCAATTTACAGTACATCAATTCTAAAACATACCAAAAAAAAATTGGGGAACAAGGGGGCCGAGTGGTCTACCGCGTCGGTTGTGGCTCAGGCAGACCGGGTTCGATCCTCGACCATCGGGCGGCATTTTACTCCGGGCAAGTCACGGTGTCCGGAGAACAAGTGCCGCCATCCCCCACTCCGGGGCATGAAACCTACGGGTGCCCCAACAGAAATTCTGCCAAAACTCTCACCCACGTGTAAAACCAAACTACAGTTCCATAAAAACCTACAGTACTACCCCCTACCCAATGGCCTTAGTTGCCGTGGGATAATTAAAAAAAAAAAAAATTATAAGTATAGGTACTCAATATATTTTTCTGATAATAGATCATTTTATTTTGTAAACTTACAAAATATTGATTAAAATTAAAGAGTATAATATATAATAATATATATTACATTTTATACATTTTTTACATTTGCGTCTTTAAATTATGCAGATGTTGTGACAAGGCGTCTAGGATAGGCAATATATGCATAATTCTTTGATGTGATCCATTTTTCTCGTGTCTTGTGTATTATATCAATGATATTAAATCTATATTATATTATGGGAGACCAAATCTAATGCACAAATAACGGAAACTTCGTTAGTTCAATACAAAGGTACGGTTTATTAGTATAAACTACATAAACTATTAAATATTAAAACATTATTATATTCACATCATTGACGACAGAATATTACATTTTAAATCATTATTGAAAATGGAATTGTAGAGTATATCCTATTACATTATATTTCAATATTTCTGAATTTTAACGGAAAAAACTTAATTTAAATAATGATTAGAAATTATATATAAATAAATATTTTTAAAACTTATATTGCATTGCACAAGCATTTACCTTCAGTCTATAGGCAAAAATCTATTTCAGAGTGTTACCTAATGGTTTTACTAAATATTATGTTATATTATCAGTGATATTACCATTTATTGTCAAATCAAACCTATTACTAACTTTATTTACTCTCTCTTAGYCGAACTCGTAGTAAATTCATAACTATAGGTCAGTCGACTGACTGTCAAGGTCCACTGTCCACTTATCTAATAGTAACAACGAATAGTAACTATTAAGAACTACACATATTAACTTTACTATACATGATAAACACTAACACGACCAGTGGACCTCACTTATGGGTTTGTAGACTGTCAAATGAACCATATAATTGTTTATTCCTACCCCAGTAAAAGCTGAAATTATGCACCTGATCTCACGAACAAACCGGATATTGTCCGAACCATCATGGCTGAAAAAATCGCAATTTTCTCGGGTGCTTGGGAAAAAAAGTAAAAAGAATTTCATCAAGATTAAAAAAAAAATATAAAAATAAACGAGATATTTTTCAGCGAGATAAATGTGACTTGTCGTCCTATAGTGTTCCGGTCTCTTGGGACGGTTTAACCTAAACGCGTTCAAGATATATTTATGATGTTTGATTCGTGATAACTTTTACCCAAGACACCACAGTAGTTGTACTTTACTACATGGGTAGGTGGTACCTTATACACTTACGAGTAAACAACGTCTATTTTATTAATCCAATTGACTGCGACGCACTGAACATATAATAATGAATATAGTTACTACTTACAACGAGCATAAAATAGAACAAACTATTCTATTAACATCATTATTAAGATATAGAACATAATTATTTATGTATTGCTTGACGATCAGTTTTTAGGTTTTTAAGTAATAAGTAGGTACTTAGTAGTTAGTACTTATGGAATGTAGTACTAAACGCATTACTTTAGGGCTTTAGGCTTTAGCTGGGATTTATAAGCTGTAATTTGTAACTAATACAACCGTAAATTCTCGTTACCATTGATTTTAAATACATATTCATATATTTTTTTGAATTAAGATTAAATTTAAATAGGTGAACAAATTCACATACCCATACCAATTTTATAAAATTCTTTTTAAATTAATTGATACCTTTATCATAAAATATTTGTATTCTTATTRATAAGCCATCATATATAATATATTAATATCATACAAATGTGAAATGACAGCTGATAAGAATCCAACATAAGATTCATTAAATTTATTACAGCAAAAAATAAAAATGTGATTAAAACTTTCTTGTTTTTACTAGAAAGATACATAAAATCAAATTAAATTTTTTTGTTGGACACGGGTTATTGAACCTGACTGTTGATTACAAAAATAGAGAAAATTCTAAGCAGAATTCAATTCATAAATAATATTATAATGATAAATTGGAAATCAGAATTATTTGAGCTTTGAATAATATAAATTAAGTACATCAAGTTTCTTTATATTTTTTACACATGGTATACAATTTTAATGTTGTATATAATATTAAATATTCATCACTTCACGCATTTAAAGATTCCAGTGCTTTTCTTGACAAGTTGCAGTATACTTTGCGGGATATTGCTATCGGTTATCAAAGTTCTAAAATTACTTTCAAGAAATGTAAGTGATTGTCAATATTAATATTTTGTCGAGTCAACAGTAAATATTACTGTATTCAAATTTAAATTTCGTAGCGTAATGGCTGTAGAATTGTGAGAAAAGTTTTTCAGATTACTTTTTGAATACGTTGAGCGAACAAATTCTACCTATTCGGAGATACTGTTGGTGTATCAAACTTGTAACTTATTCATTTAATATAAATCACTGACAAACGATTGCTGCTTATAAAGCAAACGTATCGTATTTCTAAGATAAACAAGGAATCGTTTATTGATTGTATTATATGGTTCGTATAAATCAATGGCTGTTTATTGCTAATCGACCAAATTTAAAGTTTTTTTAGATTCTGAACGGAGCGATGAATGTATTGATTTTACCATGATGTGTGTGTTTTTTTTTTTGTGTCTGGCATCACGTTTTGGGGCAGTAAAAATGCTTCGATTTTTGACTTCAGTACCTCGTTCGATCAGAAAGTGAATCTAGTTGGTACTTT